TGAAAGCATTGAAGGACAATCGGCAGCAGAGGCAGCTGTACCCATAATGAACAATCCGGAAGCCACTGAACTGGATGAGGTTAGGACAAGATTTATCCTTCATTTTCAAGTGGTAAAATTCTTAGAAAACGAAAATAGAAATTTTAAAATTTAAAAACCAACGTTCAGATTTCAGGAAACCATACATGTATATCCAGTTCTGGTTATAGCACGGACTGATTTTTTCACATTGCATCCGCTCATGATTACTGCACATAACAGGTAATGGCCACCGTGAAAGAGAAAAAGAAAAAGTTTATGCAGAAACATTATTAAAATAAAGTCGATCGAGAAGAAGGTTAATAGAATTTCCATTGCTTTTTCTCCCTTACACGTAAACTCGGCCCAGTCCTCGCTCACTTATCTTTTCTAGCCCCTGATGAATGATATAATATCCCAGGCAACACAATAAAAATCGTGCTTGTTTGTCAAGATTTGTGCTGCTCGCTGTTATGACCAAAAGGCCTCTACGTTTTTATCATCTTATATTATTTTACTGACTTGTTACTGCAGTGTACCAAGTTTCATCGAAAAGATTCTTTTACTTAGGAATTCATTATTGATGTCACTTAAAAGTCATTGTTCGTTTGACAAGTACTATTATTATTATTATTATTATTATTATAATTATTATTATTATCATTATTATTATTATTATCATTATCACTATATCAAGTGACTCTGTTACTGTCATTGTTTATCTCTGATTTAGGGCACAAGAAAAAATAAAAGGTATTTTCAAATCATAAGCAAGAGACTTACAGAAACTAGGACGTTGGAAGTGAAAACAGCTTTAGTTTTTTTTGTTTTTGTTTTTGTTTTTACCGCGAGTCTCTTTTTTTTTAAAGTAGTAAACCAACCCTTTTCTCAAAATTTCAGGGGACGGTGAACGATGAATTCACGGAATTATATACAGGAATAATGGAAATGTCATTGAAAGATGAAAGTTTATTCGTTCCTGACGAGGACAGTGTCAGTAGCAGTGACGAGGAATCGGAAGAGCCTAGTAACGAGTATATACGAAGAGAGCACCTTAACAGATTTTTTGAAACTTGTAACGTCCAAAAATTAACTCGACCAAGGAAGAGATGGGCCGAGGTAGGTGCGCGCACGCATAACAACCACGTGAAAAAGGCTGAAGACGCTATTGTAGCGGCTTTAAATGTTATCACGCCTGGTGATGCGGCTCATTTATGGGATGCACTTCAGTCTTCAATGCTTGTCGACAAAGAGCTTGGATATGAAGGTAGTGCCGACCGCAAATATCTTGAAGCCTTGGCAGAAACATACAAA